CATATTTTGAAAAGTAAAGTATCTGGTGCAAAACTAAATTTGCTTGGTCAAGTAATTATATCTTAGGATAGAATAATGTTCTTTCACAGATTGAGGTCAGATTTAACCTTTTGTCTCTTTTTTAGAGGCCTTTTAGGACATGTATTCTGGAAAACCTATAGTTTCTAATTAGTTACTTGAGATACTGGTAAGAAGGGGATTGTTTCAGTAAGGTTAAGTTCCAGCTATGTACATGCACATAAGTACTAAGATACCATTTTACATGAAGACATGAGTATTGTTATAAATAACACTATATTTTATACATGGTATGAGTCCTTATATTGAGCCCTGCTTCTGGGGTACTGAGGCCTCTATTGTGTGATAGTGTACTTCACACGAAAACACTAAATCATGAAGAGCACTATCAATATCTAATTGGGGTATGTGCCTGAGAGGTGAGATATAAATACAGGGAGTCATATAATTTTCATCTGTTGGGTTCTTTCCTCCTTTACACAAAGGTTGGGCAGAGCTTTTTCCCTGCTAACTACAGCAGGGAGCAAGTAGATTCTTAATACGAATTCAGCTTCTGCTTCAGAATTATAAACCAGTTGCATGTCTTCTATTGTTACTGTTGGTTTTCCTTTTCTCTGTCTTGATCTTGAGAGGAGAAACAAATTGGAACCAGAAAGAAAAGTGTGGTGAAAAGAAGATTGCACTTTGTACAAGTGGATGAGAATGCCAGACATTTGAATTGAAGGGATTTGGGTGCAAAGATATACGATAGTTCCTAACGCCATCCAAATGTTTCTCACTTATTGGCCTTCCATGGAATGAAAAATGACATTTTTGTGGAGGGAAGTTGTCAGAACAGGACCTTATTAAAAGAGACAAAGCATAGATAGGGAGCTTTAAATGGACACTGTGAATTTAAATTGGACCCATATATACATTTTTGGAGAGGAGAGCAGATATAAAACCTCAGATCCATGGAAATATACACAAAGTAAAAACAAATCCCATAAATGCAGTTGTTTTTAAAAACTAAAAATTTTTCTGTAGTGTTTAGGAACCCAGTGATAAGGAATTGAAAGTGATATAATTGACAACTGTCAAAGCTGATACAGTTTGAAACTCTCTTAACCTGGATTCTCTGATCCAGCAATATCCATGGTCCAGCACAGATGTTGCAGGGATCCCGGTTGTGCTGGCAGGGCAGTGGGCTGCCCGCAGCAAGCTGACAGTGGGGCCTCCCAGCATGTGGTAGCAGGGCTGCCCAGCGGGGTTGGGAAACCCGGTGCGTGGCTGCCTGGTGGAGCTGGGAGCTGCAGTAGCTCAGTAGGGCAGGGAACTGCAGTGAAGGGCTGCTTGGGGGGGGTCCAGGAGCCTGAGTGTGGCATGTGCAGCTGCCCTGCAGGTCCCAGAGCCCCAGCGTGGGGCAAGCTTTCGAGCTTATATTCTCCTTGAAAGATTCTCTCAGCAATAGTAGTTGGTCCAGTAAAAGATAATACACCACCCTCCTTGTCACTCTCATATCGCAGGATTTACACAGCTACAAAAACCCTGCATACAGTGTATGGTATTGTGCATACATAGGTAAAGAAACTTTGTTTAGAACATCAGATTTTTAAGTTGATAATGTTACTCTGTGATACATTTTAAAAGTTTCCTTTTTCATAATTCTAACCACCCACCATGGGTTCCATACAGTTGAGAATAGGTAATTTTCTATTCTGTCTCCTTTCCCCCTCTCCCCCTTTTTTGGATCAATTTAGATACAGGGTGAATATAGTGAAGTGAGTGCCTAATATTAAAACTCATTAGTTTCTAGATTATCTCACAGTCAAATTTGTATCTGCTCATATTTTCTTAGCTATAGTGTAAATGTGGTAACTTGAATTCTACCATATACTACAAACAGAAGTCTGTCTAGTTTATACTATTTTTGTGCTGCTAGTTTTCTTTTTTCACTAATTTCAACTATTTTGGTAATTTCAGACAGCCGCAACAGTCACAGCAGCAAGGCCTGACCCCAGATAGACATGATAAGCCAACTACAAGTTCAAATGCACTAGAAACAGACCCAGGTATTGTTTTATTCAACCTAATTCCCTTGTTTCCTTTACTTTAACATTAGTAATGTCTGCACTTGGTGCTTCATGAGAGAGCCACTGTTTTTCTTGCTGGGGGAGGATACAATAATCTCTTTGAGAAACGGTTCTGCTTTGTCAACCAGAAGGGTCACTCTTGAGTGATATGAGATCACCTGTCCCATAGGAGTGGACTGTGTTACCTGCACACTACTTTCAGCCTTTGTTGGCCTAAGAATGTAGATTTATTGATTGAATGCATGTTTTTCTTGGGAGTGCACAGCAGGTTCTAGTTTTACTTTCTTGTTTTTGTTTCTAGTTGAGCGCCATGGTGTAGGTATATGCAGCACTTATCACCAACAATAGAATGCACACTGAAAATAAATCTCTCTCTAAATGTCTATTCTCAAGTTTTATAAAAAAAAAATACATTAGGCTGGAGCAGAGGCATTCAACACGTTTTCACTCACAATTAAAAATAATAACGGAATTCAGGAAGAAAATAAACCTGCAAACATTACTAGCTTTAAATAATGAAGATCTAAATGCTAATTATACATTACTTTACTTTACATCTTTATATGGAACTGGGGGGGCTGTGCCCCCTGCTTGCTATGCTCGCCAACCCCCCCCCCCCTCACTGGCCAGTTTCACAGACAGAGAACCTGTTAATCTTGCACTGAGCCCAGTTGCTCTCTCTGTGGCCCCAAGTTACTTACACCCTTCTCCAATACCACCCACCACACCCCTGGATGGGCCCCTTTATCCAAATGCTCTTAGCCCATCCCATCTGCTTGTGCCCTTCAGTCACCAGCAAATCCCTCTGCCTGCACACTTCCCACTACTGACCCACCTGCCAATAAAATAGTCCAGGGCCCACAGCCCACCCCCCTCCTTCCATCCCTAGCCCCACCTCTGTTCTCATTCCTACACCCCCATTTCCCTGCCTCCATTCCTAGCCCCACCATCCTCCCTAACCATCCTAGCCCCACCATCCATTTCTACCCTCACCTCCATTCCTGCACCCACCCATCCTCTCGAACCCTTCCCCCTCTGCACCTCCACGCTGCCCACCCCCCTGCCTCCATTCCTATATCCGCCTGATCCCCACCATCATGTCTTACCACACCACCTATCCCCATGTATACCCTGATCCCCTTTCCTTCCTTCCTGTGCACACCCTCCCCCCACCCCCACACAGGCAACCTAACCAGCAAAGAGACAGCACCAGGCCTGTATGCAGGAATCTCTGTGGGGGGCTGCTCCATGTGCTGTGACGACAGGATCTGGGCAAGTGCCTGGAGAGGGGCAGCAAAAGTGGCATTGCTGAGATGCTGTGAAGTGGGAAAGGGGGATGTCTGTGGGCAGAGGAAATAGAAAGGAGGCAGAGAAAGAGGTTGGAGGGAGGGGCACAAAGCGGGGGTTCCGTTGGGATGCCAGATTGACATGCGGGGATGGGAGTCTGTGAGAGGGCAGGAGAAGGGCTGAGGACACACATGAAGGATGGAAACAGGGCCAAGGAGCCTTGTAGAGAGGAGAGTTTTCCAGGTGCCACCATGCAGAGGCAGGCGCCCTCCTCCCACTCTGGCAAACCCACCGCACCTGGCTGTGTTGGCAGCTGCTGTGAACGCTACTGGGCCTCCACTCTGTGATGCCTCAGGGGTTGCTGGACTGTAGCGGCGGTTTCCACCAGGATAGCTCGGCACTGATGCGGCCACTTGGGATGTGGTGGATGATGGGGGGGCTGGGGTCGCGGAGCTCAGAGCCTGCCTCCCTTACCCATGCAGGTGGGCTGCGCCCCAGGCCTCACACCACCTGAAGCAGCCCCCGGGTCTGGGGGCTGAGAGCCCCCAGTTGGGAGGAGCATGGCTTTGCAGCCCCCATCCCCAGGCAACGAGCCACAGCTCAGCCTGCCCCACACATGCGGTCATGCACCACAGGTAGCTGCCAGAAGGGGACATGGTGAGTAGTTGCTTCCCCTGAGGTAGGGGCTGCCAGGGACCACCCAGCGTGCAACCAGCATCTCCCTTTGGCCGCTTCTCCTGTGGGCCTGTTCTCACACAGTGCCTCTGGCCCAGGAAGGTTCCCAAAGCCTTCAGGTCCAGCTGCCCTAGAGCCCCTTCCTGGGGTTTCCCCTCCAAGAAATGGTAGCAGCGCTGTCGCAGCCCCATTCCACGCTGCAGGCTGATACGGATCAGTGCTCAGGCCCTGAATGAAATGGCTTCCTGCTCTGGCAAAGCCACCTGGCAGTCCAGCCTGTGTAGATTCTGTCTCCAAAGGGTCCTGCCTGCTCTGCTCTGGTTGCAGCCTTTCAGGGGGTGGAATTTGACCAGGCTGGGTTGTAAGGCGGTTTTGCCAGTCCCTGAATAGTGTCCGGGGCAGGGAGGCCGTGGGAGAGCAGAGCCTGCAGGAGCCTGTTTTCCCACAGGAAAAACTTTTTTATCTAAATAGATGAGTAGAGGCCATTGAAAAGTAAATCTGAAATGATCATTTGATGATAGAAAATAAGGCATCTGAAGGCATTTGAAAAAACATGAAATGATAAACAGAAGCAAAAGTCAAGAAGTGATGTAAAAATGTTTTTATAGCTGCATTCTAGAAGTAATTAAACATAAATAGTTTGTGTATGTTTGTCTTCTTCCAGGAGGCAATATGAGTGAAGAAGACATGCTTCAAGCAGCCATGAATATGTCCTTGGAATCTGTTAGGAACTGCCTGAATACAGAAGAAAAGAAATGAAAACTTTTTTTGTTGTTTCTTTTGGTCAAAACACTCAATCTTCAATGTAATATTCTTGTGTGGAAGCTGTATAAGCAGGGTTCATTTCAGAAACATATGGAAGCAAGGTATTGTTTTACCACAGATGCAAACGGCGTGAGAGTTAAAAGAGGATCTGCAAATAAAAAGATTGCACCAGTTTAGAAATTACGGCCTTGATATTGCAAAACACTTCAACACACACATAACTTTGCTTATGTGAGTAATTTTATTGATTTCAGGAGGACTACTCAAGTGAGCAAAGTTTTATGCAAATAATTTAGTGCCTTGTAGGCTCAGGGCCTGTGTGTTGAATGCTTGAAGAATTGAGCACACAATTTCTAAATTACTGCAATATTCTTATCAGTGAACTCAGATGCCATTCAATTTAATTTTAAAAATAAATACAAAAAAGTAAGGCTGTTAAACATTAAAGAGAAAATAAGGACAATTTTTTAAATGACGGGTAGGCATATTTTAAATGAAACATTTTAATTCAGACTCTTTACTTTCTAGAATATGAGGTCATGATTTTATGTTTCTCTTGCAAGAATTATTGGTGTTTCACTTCCAGAACAGAGCTTTCTGATCTGCTGTTTTGTGTGTTTCTGTAAGAGAAACCCAAAACCATGAGGTCTTGGCAGGTAAAAAGAATTACCTTCAGTATATTTGTAATTATAATGCTAACAAAATTATTTAAGATCTTTTACCTTTTTGTATTTGCAAAAATTTATTATTTGAAAATCATCATTAAAAGAAAGCTCATGTGAAAGTTTTCTTTCTTTAAGTCAGATGACTTGGCTCCCTCTTTGTACTCTTTCTGCTGATTTCTGAAGTTGGCTTTACTGGAGATGGCACTTCTGTCTGTGAATGAGACACAGCTCATGTTGCCAGTTGGGCTAAATAGTTCATTTTGGTCTTTACCATTCCTGTTCTGTTTTTTCTCTTTGGAGTCTGCCCCTTATCTTGGCCTCTCACCATTTCTTTTTTCACACTACTAGTAATAGCAGCTATCTCTTCCCTAACTAGTTAGTTCATCAAGCTGTGTAGAAAGGGGGGAAAGAAAGCAGGAAAAATTTAGATACCAT